AGCAGCAGCAGTAGTAGTAGGAGTGGTAGTAGCAATAAAGCCCTTATTAAGCCCTTATTAGGCAAGCCCAGAACCCTACAAAATAAGAAAGTGAGCCCCTCAATTTCTTAAAAATAAGAAATCGAGCCCCTCAATTTCTTATTTTGGCAAGCCTTCAAACGCCTGTATTAAGCCTTACACTACTCTTCGGGATTGAGGCTATTGGGTTTCCAACTTTTGGGCTTCTACTATAAACCCTGAAAGCGGGATTCCCTCCTCGATCGGATTTACTCCGTCGTACGGTGGTGGAGGCGCCACCTGGCCATTCTGCTGGACCATATCGGAGTGCTTTAGTGGCAGGTGACTATACAAGCTTTAAGTTCAGGTGCTGATACTGTAATTAGCAACCCGAAGCACCCAACTCCCAAAGTACGTAGCCAGCCTAGATGGTGCAAAGGCACATGTGTTAAAGGCTCAGGGTTCGACCCCAAACTCTAAACCCTAAAGCCCTAAACCTTAAACCCTAAACCAACCCAAGAGCTTGGTAAGTCAGTCATGTTTGAGTTTTCATCGTTTTAGGGTTTGGGGTGTAGGTCTATAGGGTTTAGGGTTTAGGGTTTAGGTTTTGGGGTTTGGGGTGTAGGTCTATAGGTATGGCCCAGGATACGTGAAATCTTGATATCACCTAGTTACTTGGAGGGTCGGCGGACTTAGTAAGTAGTTATTCTATTAGGGTGCGCATAAGTCTACTTATCACCTACTTAATTAGTCCCCCGACCCTCCAAGTACTACATCCCCTGCTCCTTGAAGCAAGATTTCTGCAGGTCTAGTCACTAACACCACGGATGCGATTTACCCAGCGATCGGGTACAAGGATTGGGTACTTCGATTCCAAGCAAAAAGTACTTTATTTTAATATATTTATATTAGTCTTGAGACTAAGATTGCCTGCAATACTTTTGACGCTATATAGGATTTGGGTATATATGTGATATTCGAAAAATAACATTAGATCGATTCATTCTTGGCGGGGTCCGGAACGGAAGGGGCAGGGGTGGGCTCAGCCGGGGATGCTGTCCGCGACAGCGGCATATCAACATCATGTTGCAGACCGGTACGGGCGGCAAGCAAATCGACCATAGCCCCGGACACGGAGTGTTGAAGCAGGCCAAGTGTGCTCGCGGGCAATCTGCCCAAAGCGGTCAACCCTCAACCCTGAACCCTAAACCCTGACCAATTAACCCGGAACTCTAAACCCTAAACGCTAAACCCTGAACCTTAAACCCTCAACCCTGAACCTTAAACCCTCAACCCTAAACCCTGAACCCTAAACCCTACACCCTAAAACCCTAAACCCTAAAACCCTCAACCCTAAACCCTGAAGCCCCTAAACCCCTAAATCCCTAAACCCTGAAGCCCCTGAAGCCCTAAATCCCTAAACCCTGAAGCCCCTGAAGCCCTAAATCCCTAAACCCTGAAGCCCCTGAAGCCCCTGAGGGTTCGAGCAGCGTTGCCTCGTACGGCGGCGGCTTTCGGCCAATCCTCCGACCCAAGGCATCCTGCACTTGGAGGGACTGAGAGTGAGTAGGGTTCCTTAAAGGGAAGGGTTTAGGGTTTAGGGTTTAGGGTTTAGGGTTTAGGGTTTAGGGTTTAGGGCTCCTGAAAGAGATCCTTAAAGGGATATATAAGGGTTCTATAAAGGGAAGGGAGGGTATGGGATTTAGTAAATAGCTATTGTGTAGACTTATAAGTTATAAGTAATACCATAACCCCAATTAGGATCCCATTTAGGGTACTTATAAGTTACTAAGTCCCCCGACCCTGCAAGCACTGTCCCCCTGAGGGGTTCAGGGGTTTAGGGCTTCAGGGGCTCAGTTGTTTAGGGTTTCGGGCTTAGGGTTTAGGGGTTTGGGTTTAGGGTTTAAGGGTTTGGGTTTAGGGTTTAGGGTTCAGGGTTTAGGGTCCATGTACCCAAACAGTGTTTTCTTAGGCCTTAAAGGGGTTCCTCTAAGGGCTCCTTTAAGGGATCCTTGAAGGGATCTATGACCTATAGTTTAGGGTCTAGGGCTCCAGGTACCCAAATAGTAAAACTTCGGCCTTAATGTAGTCTCTATCTGGGTACTTTAGGGTCAAAGTGTACTCATACGGATACATGGACCCTTAGGGTTGTGCACATTGACATGTCGTCACGATGTAGAATTCCGGGTTCAGGCTTAAGGGTTTAGGGCTTAGGAAGGGTGTAGGGTTTGGGGGGTTAGGTTCAGGGTTAAGGGTTTAGGGTTTAGGAAGGGTTTAGGGAATGATGCTACTGGTTTCGTGCCTCTTGTATCGGCCCGGGATAAGGAAGTCCTAAGTAGCTATGTGGTTATGTTGTTGCTTGGGTCTGCTGCAGCCCCAAGCCGCGAGCCCTGTGTAGGTTTTCAAGACATCATGATTCGGTTGTTCTTGTGGACCTGGCTTCTGGTATCCCTGACAACAGCATCGCACAATACTTCGGGGTTCAATCTTCAGGATTCACAGCCCTAAACCCTAAACCCTAAACCCTAAGCACTAAACCCTAAACCCTAAACCGTCGTTCCGAAACTTGGATTTTGCGCGACGGCTCTTTCGCTTGCCTTGGCGCACAGCTGTCCCTGAACCGTCGGTCCCAAGGGCCTCAATAAGTAGAATAGGGTTTTGGGATGTTTTGGGGTACGTTACAATAGAACTTACATTATACATTAGGGACTATGAAGACACGCTGTAATGAATTATTCCGAGCCCTGTATCCCCCATGCGTAAATTTTGTAACCTTGCGTAGGAGCCCTATACCCTCAAGCCGAAACTGAATAAACCCTCAACCCTAAATCCTATACCTCAAGCCGAAACTGAATAAACCCTCAACCCTAAATCCTATACCGTAAACCCTAAACCCTAAATCCTAAACCCTAAACCCTGAACCCTAAACCCTAAATCCTAAACCCTAAACCCTAAACCCTATTAAGCCAAAGCCTGAAATCTTAAACTCTGACCTTCGCCCCAAAATTACGTAATCTACGGATTCCAACCCTGAGGCTCTAAGGACTCATATGGGTGGTTGTCAAAATTATGGTCCCTTTTTGGGTCCTTATTAGAATACGGCACCTATTATTTAGGGTACCCCCAAAAGGGACCATAATTTTGACAACTACTCATATTTTAAGGCTTTTGGGCCCAAAGACCATACTATATGAGGCTTTTGGGCTATTTTATTAGGATTTAGGGTTTAGGGGTTAGGGTTGAGGGGTTAGGGTTTAGGGTTTAGCCAAAGACCATACTATATAAGACTTTTGGGCTATTTTGAGCCTTAGGGCCAGGCTCCTCATTTCGATTTGCTCTATGAAAGTTCATTAAGCAGGTAGGCTCTTTGGGTCCAGGTACCCCTTCACGCCAAACCCTAAACCCTCCTTGGTGGGTGGGGGGAACTTAGTAAGCAGGTAAACCCTAACCCTATAAACCCTAAGCCCTAAACCCTAAACCCCAAACCGTAGGCAGGTGATAAGTAGCGTTCTAACTACCCTGAAAGGGTTTCTGATTGGGGCTCTGATGCTTCTGAGTCCCTAAACCCGAAACCGCCGATCTGATCATGAACTACTTACTAAGTCCCCCGGCCCTTTTGGGGGATCCCCATGATAACTATACTAGAAAGGACCCCAAAACCCTATTCTAATTATTAAGGCCCCTACATCCTAGAACCCTCTTATAGTCGATCCCTTATAGAACCCTTTACAGGAACCCTTTAATTTAAGCTAGGTTCCCCAGTAGTCCCTTAATGATAAGGGTACCCTTTTTCCTACTGTTTGGTTTTCATAGGAAACCCAAAAAGAAAAAGGGCAAAAGGGTACTACTGGGGAACCCTTTACGGATCCTTTTTAAGGTCCTCGTCGAGTGGAGCTGGCCCGCTCGGTCGAAACAGCCCCTGCGCCAGGAAGTCGGCTTAGGGCTCTTTGGCTCTGATCGGTGATTGGTTTAGGGTTTAGGGTTTAGGGTTTAGGGTTTAGGGCTTAGGGTTTAGGGCTTTGGGTTTGGGGTTTAGGGTTCAGGGTTTAGGGCTCTTTGGCTCTGATCGGTTATATTGTAGGTAAGCCCCCCCCCAAAAAAAAAAATACCCAAGGTTGAAGCCATGGGCCCTACGGTTGATGATATAAATCCTGCATCACACATAATAAAGAATATACCATAATTCCCATAGTTTAGGATCCTTAAGGTAATGCAGGATTTCTATCATCAACAGTAGTATGGGACCTTAACCCTGGGATCCTTATACACCTACTATATACCCCATATTACCCTTAAGGTCCCTGGAAAGGCCGAGGGGTCCAGAAAAGGGGCCCATACGTCTATAACCTCAGAAATTAGGGTTTAGGGTTTAGGGTTTAGGGTTTAGGGTACAACCTGACTTGCTAAGAGCCCTGCTTCTCCAAGTCGCAATCGGAGCTTTCAGACCCCATGCCGTCATGTAGGCCTGAAGTAATTACCAGTACCCTGTTGGGGATTCCTTATTCTGATTATAGTATGATGGTGGGTCCCAAATCCCCATTCTAGCTACTAAGGCCCCTACATTAGTTTCAGCATGATGTGCTCTGAAACTTTGCCACCTTTCGATAAAAGTTTGGTACAAACCCCTAAACCGTAAACCCCAAACCCTAAACCCCTAACCCCTAAATCCTAAACCGGCTTACCTGGCCTGCCCCTGAGCTGCCGACTGTCGTCGTGGTGGCCTCAGTGTTGGCAAAGGCATGGAGATGGGCCTAATGTAGGGGCCTTGATAATTAGAATAGGGTTTTGGGTACCTTTTATAGTATAAGTAAAATAAGGAGCCCTGGCAATAACAACAATATTGGTAATAATTTAGGCCCCATTATTGGGGTTTATGTTCAGAGTTTTCAGGGTGTTGACACTACGTTCCATACAATTCGCTGAGTCCTTCGCCCTGAAACACTGCTAACCCGACCTTGTACTGCTGAGGCTCATCTTAGCTCCTATGAAGCCACTTGCAGGCAAGGCTTCCCTCAACCCTACACCTATCCGTTTAAGGATCTCTTTAACTCTAAACCCTAAACCCTAAACAGTTTAGGGGTTTAGGGTTTAGGGTTTAGGGTTCAGGGTTTAGGGTTTAGGGTTTAGGGTTTAAGGAGCCCTCTAAGGAACCCCAGTTACTAAGTCCCCCGACCCTTCAAGTAGGGAATCTTCGAAGCTCTCATGCAGGGTTCAAGGCGGCTTAGCACTCTAAGGGCCCATGCACCAGGGGTTTGAGGTTTAATATAGGGGCCTAAATAATGACCCATCCTATTTTTTTTTTTGAGGCGGGGGGCTCCTTATTACAATTCTAGTATGGTATACCCCGAAACCTTATTCTAATTTTTAAGGCCCCGACAGTAGGGTTAGGGCTTTAGGGGTTTAGGGCTTTAGGGCCTTAATAGGGGTCTAGATTTTAGGCTTCGGGGAGCTCCCGATCCCAAACCTTAGACCTGAAAATCAGCCAGATAATGTCCGGCGATGATTGCAAAACAGGCATGGTTGCAAATACGGCGCTTGCCCCCGTTGTGTTTGTTTTTCGTTCGCTCCTCCGTTAACCACTCGCCGGTAACCTCCTTGTCCCGCTGAAGGATACGCTCCTTCACAAGTGTAACCCTGGAGACGAATGCCGCCTCGGGTTTTTCATGGAATGCATGAAACCACAGAAGCTTGATCATATAAGGCATGACAAGCACACGCATCTTCTGATGCGCTGCGTCCGGCCCGAGCTGCTTGATCGTCTCCAAAAGTACAATTTCGAGCTGTTCCCTCGAAGATCCGCCGGCGTTGTAATCGGTGATGAGCTCGTCCGAAACCCTTGCCTTGCCCGAGGTCTTACTTTCGCAAAGTCGTTTGAGGCGCATACGCAGAGCGTCGTGCGAAATGACGCGGGTGCCATCGGGCACAACTACGGAATCCTGGTCGAAAGTCCCCGGGTTCAAGGCCTCGCCCGACTCCTTCTCGTCAGGAACAACAGCCGCAGCCTTCGCCACCTTTGGGGCGGGAGCGGGTTCCTTTCCAGCCTTGTGCTGCTTGATAATCTCGGCCTGCTTCTGAAGCTGTTGTTTAAGTACCTAAATAGTGCGGCTTCCGAAGTAATGTGCTTTTAGTATGCAAAATCCTGCGATTTGGGTTGGACCCTAAACCTCTAAACAGCAAGAAATTGGCTCAAGACAGGACACAGCGATGCCAGAAGAGGTGACAGCTCCACCCCGCCCGACACCTGCGGTTTCCGGACGCTTAATTAGGGCCTTAGCTTCGGGTCTTATCGTCCAGCCAGGATTTGTGGGGTTTGAGATGGGTTTTGTTGGCGGTTGGTGGGGTTTTGCAAGGTCAGAAGCCCGAAATAGCCATGTGAGGGCGCGTCAATATTTTTTTGTTCCTAGAAGCGGCCCCTTGACAAGGGGTATCGTTTTCGGGTTTCCCCTATCGTTTTGCACGACTTTGGGCACATGACTGTATCTTTTGTGCATGTTAGACTAAATCAAGTACTGGTGGCACTCTTGGGTTCATACGATGCAAGCAAACTAGATGAGGCAGTCGCTCCACGTGGAGCCTAAGTATGCTTCTTTGAGAAGGTGAACGGCGGTTTGTGCGTGGAGTATGGGACTCGTGAGCAAACGTGTGTTGCGCGTGCTTCATCGGAAACGGGCACGGGCAAGCACGGTTTGTGCAAAGCAAATGGGCATGGGTCCATAAACGGCCTCTGAGCAATTTTTGTGGGTATCGTCAAGGTATCGTTTGGGGTATCGTTTTAGACCACCAGCAGTTTACCAGGAAATGGACTGTTCAGTTGCTGGTCTCTCTATGTCAATATGCAGCAAAGATAGCTTTTTGTCACCCACGTGGCAGTAGAGGTAGTAGTAGAAGTAATACTACTGTAATAGCAGTACTAGTAGTAGTAGTAGTAGTAGTAGTAGTAGTAGTAGTAGCAGTAGTAGTAGTAGTAGTAGTAGCAGCAGCAGTCGTATTAGTAGCCGTAGGAGTAGTAGTAGTAGTAGTAGTAGTAGTAGTAGTAGTAGTAGTAGTAACAACAACAACAACAACAACGCCAGCCAGAAGCAGAAGCAGTGGCAGTAGCGGTTAGCAGGTCTATGCATGTGCGTATGTAG